TTCTCAGCATTGCATATGCAATGTCGCTGGCACCAACAGGAGAAGGAAGGCTTTGGATAGGAAAGACATCTCTATTATATGGAACAGCTCCTTCCAGTGCTACTGACATCTGTGTTTAAGCATTTGTACATTCACTCTTGCATGCACCACATCTGAGATCAGCAGATGTGCTCAAGCCAAAGTCTCTATGGTAATCAGAGTGAGGGGCTGCTGGGAGGGTGTTCTCTGTGAGGGCTCTTGGACTTTGGATTTTGCTCCACTTTGGTCTGAAATAGCCTGAATCTTCTGATCTTTAGACAGCGGAACGGCTGTAAGTCTCTGAACTCTTGGCCCAGGAAGGGGACTTAAGATTTTGGGTTACCTGATTTGTTAGAAATGGGTTGTACCAACTGTGCTACATTCAAACCAATTAAACAAACAATAACTGTAGTAACATTCTATTTCCTGGCCCTTTTCCTCTAATACAGCGTGCTCACAGATCCAGCCCGCGGTGCTGTCATCCGCCTCACAGGGTTCCTCAAGTTTCTGGAAGTTTGGTGGGAGGGAGCAGTGGCATTGTTAATTGCTACTCCTCTGATGCCAAATTTCTGGACCTGTGGGGAGCCTTGCAGGCCAGATAACATGGCCCTGCAGGCCAGATTGCATTGCTGCACAGCCAGATCCAGGCGCACAGGTTTGGGCTGGCATGCAGCCTGTTCTGGGTGCACGGCTGACTCAGGCTGACATGGGATCAGGCCCATGGACTGACCCCACATGCTGACTCCAGCCTGGGGTCCAGTCCCATAACACTTATCTGGCCTACAGGACCAAGAGGCCAGGCACCACTGCTTTAGTAGATTACCAAACTCTTAACAAACTACATATTCTACCTAACAGTGAAGTACAGCCTCCTCTGGAGAACACCACATTGGCTGTTTAACTATTCCCAGTAATATCATACAACAGCTTTTCATCGACCCCAGTGGGCTCTGGATCAGGCCAGTAGAAGAAACTGAAGAAGAATTCCATGTCCATTTGGAACCCCAGGCTGCCTTTCAGGGGCCAGAACAAAGGTAGCCGACCTGTGGGGAGCCTTGCAGGCCAGATAACATGGCCCTGCAGGCCAGATTGCATTGCTGCACAGCCAGATCCAGGCGCACAGGTTTGGGCTGGCATGCAGCCTGTTCTGGGTGCACGGCTGACTCAGGCTGACATGGGATCAGGCCCATGGACTGACCCCACATGCTGACTCCAGCCTGGGGTCCAGTCCCATAACACTTATCTGGCCTACAGGACCAAGAGGCCAGGCACCACTGCTTTAGTAGATTACCAAACTCTTAACAAACTACATATTCTACCTAACAGTGAAGTACAGCCTCCTCTGGAGAACACCACATTGGCTGTTTAACTATTCCCAGTAATATCATACAACAGCTTTTCATCGACCCCAGTGGGCTCTGGATCAGGCCAGTAGAAGAAACTGAAGAAGAATTCCATGTCCATTTGGAACCCCAGGCTGCCTTTCAGGGGCCAGAACAAAGGTAGCCAGACTGGAATTTGGCAGGGATGACAGTGCTGACCCAATTTACTGTGAGATCTTTAATGACTATAAGCAGGTGAGGGCCATGGACTGGACTTGTATGTTGTGTACAAGCAGCAATCTTGATCCTAACTCCCTCTGGCACCATGCTGGGGAATTAGTTTAGGACTAAATAAGGAAGAACACTGGCTTCACCTTCTGCAGTGCTGACCTATCTGCAGCATAGGCACTTGTAGGGTCTATTTACCTTCTATCCACAGTGTATCTGCGAAGAAATCGAGAACATTCACCCAGCCACTCCGACTCAGAGGTGCCAAAGCTGGATACATATCAAGAAAGTGGCTTTGAGGGTGTCCTTGGAGCCATTCTTAAGCACTTTGGAAAGAGATCTTGGAGGTAACACCAAGATCCATCACCCCTGCCTGGACACACCAGAGACATGGTGTAGACGTACCCATACTCTCCTCTTCACTGCGTTCTGTGGGTCTGTCCTGAAGCATAGATGCTCCAGTGCTGGCTTTCCTGAGTCCCCATCCCCAGGGCCTGGCAGTCACCCTAGAAACAAAGCTGGGGACAGAATGTAGAAGGAAATAGGCAGGTGGAGAAACACTCACCAGTTCTCATTGTTGATCTGGTCACCAAATCCTGGGGTATCAATTACCGTCAGCTTCATCTTGACACCACCTTCTTCGATGACTAAAGAAAGGAAGCAAAAATGATGTCAATATCCCTCTTCCTCAGGATCTGCTCTCAGTGTGCAGCTCTATGGTACTCACCACAAGAATACAGGCTAAGGCCTCTTTACAGTACTCAGGCAGCGTAAAGGGGCCCTGAAGTAAAGTAGGAGTAAATTACATTTGCTCTCACTTTAATGCCTTAGCAGACCTTGATGAGAATCTGCCTTAGTATTGCTGAAGTTTTCTGTTTATCTACAGCCTAAGTCTGAAAGGAGGATGTCCACTCCCCAGTAGCCATGTCAGCCTATTCCTGTTGCTGAGGCTGGAGCCAGTTAGTGCCACCTGTGATTACGAGAGTGCTCTCACTAGGTACTTGGCTGAGACTGACCATCTTGGTTCATAGAGGCCACCAAACAGCGAGAGATGGAAATGACTTTCACCCCAGATGATCTTGGGGCCATGTTTCAACACATCTACACAATTGAATGGATGACTTACAAGTGGCAAGGTCTAAGCCTTTCTCTAATCTCATGCTCTAAGCAATGCAGTCCCCAGAACCTTGCCAGTTCTGAAGAGCTATCCTCTAGAGCTGACAGGCTTGCATTGGAAAGGGGAGGGTTTACAGCAAGAAATGCTTAATGTAGGGACCTTCTGGAAGACGTTGCAAAGGCCACATCTATCCTTTTGTGGTTGCTACTGGTCACCTTCACAATAGATCTCCTGGCTCTTACCATGCCCTATAGCTTTAATCTCCACTGTCTTAGGGATCTTCTCCTCACGGCTCCAGCCTGAAGACTTGCGGCTCACCTGGGATTTGAAGAGAGTGTTCACCAGTGTTGATTTCCCCAGCCCACTTTGACCTGTTAAAGGGAAAAAGGAAGCATCTAGCACAGTGATTCTCAACTAGAGTACCATAGCACCCTGCATGCCTTGAGATTTCTAGTAGGAATCCATAGTGTTAACACAATTCTGACCTGTTTTAGTCTTTCTGAGTTCTTTGCAACAGAAAAATTGCTCTATTATTTTTCCTTAGTCAAAAAATGACTGAAAACTGAGCTGGCAATTTCCAAGGGGGCCTTGAGTCTAACGAGGGGTGTCTTGGGTCTAAAAAGGTTGAGAACAAGTGATCTTGCACATACTGCAGCTGTGTGATGATAACAATAGGCCTAGGAACTTAACCCCATGGAAGATGTCAGTTCAGTGTGGTGAGATCTTTTCCCTCTAAACATGTATGTTAAGGAGAATTACTGAAAGTGAACTAGAGATCTAATTGAACTAGGCTTGGTCTCATGTTAAAGCATCTATTCTTCACCCGTATCCACAAAAACACTCTGTGCCTGATCATCTCTCCAGCCTGTACCTTTGGGATTGCCCTCCAAGCCAGGGTGAAGCATTGCTTATGCTCCCCCACAGACCTCTATAAGCCTCCATAACCCTTCCTACCTACAACCATGATGTTGAAGTCAAATCCTGTCTTCATGGTCTTCTTGCGCATTTGCTCAATGATGGTGTCGATCCCAATGTAGCCCAGCAGATTGGAATTAATGCTAACAGGTTTCATCGGCACTACTGGTTTTTGCCGGGGCTCCGGCACCAGGTCAGACATAGCTGCGTCAGTCCTGGTGTCTGCTGGCCCTATACAGGAGACAGTGGAAGGAATTGTTATTCAAGAGACAGCTCTATAAAGTCCCTCTGCCCTTCTATATTACTGATCGGTAAGGTTGAGGGTAGTATTAAATATTCATTTGCTGGACATGAATTAGGGTCACGATTTTACCATTGGGGCCCTTTATGGACTGGCACCTATCTGAGGCTTCTGACTTACTGTTCTTCACCATCACAGCCTATGAGGTCCTATGGTTGAGGTTCTCAGAGGCTGGTTGTATCAGTGGCTACCATTCACCAACAACTACACTGGCAGTTGAAGCTAGTAGTAGAACACTTTCCCTTTGCTACCATACTGAATTCAAGCTTCTTTCAATTGCCATCAAAGCCCTAGGCAGTCTGGTCACACTCTGCTTATCTATTTTTGCCTCCTTTTATGTCTCCCCTGGCTCCATCACTCCCACTGGGAGGACCCATTTGTCTGCTTCTCTCACATACATCTCCATGCTTTCTTCTACATGCCTGTCTACAAGGCAGACCTTCTCCAAGCTGATTCACAAGGCCAGCTCCTGCTTGTTTACATGTCTTCTGAAGACCCACATACTTGGAAGTGCCTACAAAGAAACTTAGTGACTCCATCTCTCTCTCCCTGCCCCTTCCCTGCCTCTTAGGGTCTTCTGTAAAATAGGTAGACAACAGCAAAGTCTCTCCCAAATGGGCTTCATGGAGTCTGAGGTTCTTTCCCCTTATTGGGTTATAGCAGATTCTGCTTGGGGTCATCAATCATTTACTTATCTCCATCAATTAATGAATAGCTCATATCTTCAGAGGGAGAGGGCTAGTGCTGGGACAGAGTGGGCGTGAGAACACTGGAACTCAAGTTGGAAATTAGTTGTGAGGGAAGGCACCGAGGCTGAAACTGGAAAGAAACTGAAGTGAGGAAATACAATGTTTTAAACTTAGGAAAACAATGCAGGCATGACCTAGTGAGACATAGGGCTATTGTCACTCTGATCTTACACATTGACCCTTTCCCCCCAACTTTTTGTAGTCAGTTTTTCAGTATGAGAACAGTGTCTATCAGAAACCACCTGGCACATTTGGGATGCTACTGCAGTCAAAATGATACATGCTAAATTATCCCTTTCAGTCAGTCCCTCCCATGTCTTCACTTGCTCCCCCCTAATGCACCTGCCAGCAGCCAGAAATCCAGAGCAGCAGCTGATCAATCCTGTGGTGCGACTGCCATTTGGTGTATGACATGCACTGCCTTTGGAGGAACAGACAGCCATGACTGCAGGCCTAGAACAAGGGAGGTCAACCTTTTTGGCAGGAGTGGCCTTCCCAAGTGTCATTCTGAGTCCCTTTCTCTGCCAAATCTGCTGCTCTGCTTTCTGCTCCCTGCTCTGTGCTTCTTGTTCGCTCTGCTTTCTACTTCCTGCCCTACCTGCAGCTGTCTGTCCCCTCCCTGTACCATATACAGAGGCTCCCCATGCCACTTGTGGCACCTCTGCTGCAGGTTGCTCCCCCCACCCCTGTACTAGAGGAACCAATTACAAAAATCTAGGGAAGAAGCTGTAGCAGTAATACATTTCTAGGGTATGGAAGGAGCGTCAGGTGGAAGGATGTTTAGGGAGTGTTTCAAGATATTCTTAAGCCAGGAGGAAGGGGTTTTCTGGGTGATTGAAGAACTTACAGTGGCATTTCCCTTCTCAAAGCCCTCTGCAGTCAATCAGGACTTGTCTACATGGAGGAATTTACCACCACAAGTTTACCATTATGAGGGGATGGGCATACAAATAGTTAACCATTGGCACTGGTACAAAGGGACAGGGCTTTACGTAACATCAGCCATTCTGTTGAAATTGCCTATTTACTTATTCTCACCTCACAGAAAATGGAAGCAAACTCACAGTAGCTTAGCCCTCATTGAAAAGGACAAGTCAATGAGCTTTACCAACCACTTACCAAAGGCTGTGCACATGGGCAGTTACCATGGAGTAGCTGATATGCTATAAAGTCTCACTTTCTTTTCCTTGCAGTGAATTATTTATAGGTCTATGCCTTAAGCCCGGGTTGTCCTGCAGGGCTGTTGGCATGTTTGCTGGAATCATTGTGTTGGCACGACTCCACGACCCGGGGAATTAATCCCACTACTACTTTCCCCCCTGCCAGCTGAATTCAGGGTCTTTGGTTGTCATTGATGACTAAAATCAGCAGCAGAGAAAAAGTGGGGACAACTGGCAGCAGCGTTCATCCCCTGAGCTCTAGAGCCATGCCAGTGCAGTGGCTCCAGCAGTCAAACCAATCAGCTGCCAGAGGCGGGTTATCCAGCTCACAAGAAGCCCCACAATTTGCACCTGGTCTGCTGAGCCAAATGAGTTGAACACCCCTGCTTTAAATAAACCCATATCAATCTGCAAGTATAATGCCCAGTGTGAGCTGCCTTATCCCAGAATCAGAGTCCCTTTTCCCACTTCAGTTTAAGGCACTTCAGAAGCAGTTTACATTAAATGAGAAGACTTTGAAAAAAACCCCCCAACAAACCTTTTTTTACCAAAAGGCTTCAGCTTTCTTCAAACCTCTCCCTGGAGCCCTTTGAGAACCCCCTGGCTCAGTACTTTCCCAGGGCTGCATTGTAAGTAGTGGCTGAGGCAGATTATGGCTCAGGGCCTCCTGACTCAGGAGGCCTCCTGGCCCCATTTAGCCTTAATCTGGCTCCATTTAACCTTAATCCACCCTTGCTTGTTGAAAGAAAGAGGGTCAGGAAGAAATCTCCCTTCCTGCATTTACAAATCAAGCAGGTGTTTTTACCCTTGTCCACAGCATCTGGCTTTAGCTTGGGTGGGGGACACAGAGGCTAGAGAGACCCCCAGTCATATCCACCAGGGCAACTGTGAACTCCCTATTCTCCCTGCCGCAGCTGCTGTGTTGTGGCAGTAGCTGCCAAGATGGGCTTTTCCCATCTGGAATTCACTCGTACGCCCATCACAACTAGTTTGTGATTTTCATGCTGACAGACCATCCCTGGAGGCTCAGGTTGTCTTTTCCCAGCTTTCTCAAAGTTGCTGCCAGCCAGGAAACCCTGATATCAGAGAAACCAGGAAGAGCTCAACCAGCCAGCTCTCTCGCTCTATTTGCTCAACCTCCTCTTCCTCTCCTGACTCACCACCTTCCTCTTGACATCCCACACGTGGGAATGCCAGTGACCTTCAGGCTGGTCCCAGCAGTTCTTCCATTTTCTACTGTTGTCTCTGAAGCCTTGCAGATATGTGGATACAACATTCAGGAACAATGCAGATACACATTGTTCCTGAATGCAGCCCTTCTAGGGTAAGTAGACAGCTTTGCTCACTGTCCTAGTTTTGACTAGCAATGTCCTAACCCATTTTATGTCATTTTGCTTAACAACTTCCACATGGTAGTGCCTTCCCTCTCTTTTGCTGTCTTCCTGTAACCCATGCTAACTTGTTTTTCCCTGGGGATTTGTGGTTGTGATATTCAAGAAAGATCATGGAAGTCCTTGCAGACCCTTTGGACAAGTAATTGCCTGAGGACTGGACTTGATAGCTTGGGAGGCACCTTCCAGCCCTACCTTACTGTTTCAACCACAGTTTTGTCTTAGTTTCAATCTAGTCTGCCCATCCCTTCTCCCTGTTGTGACTGCCTTCACTTCCATCTGTGCCCACCCTTGACTTCAGTAGAACAGGGGAGTCCACTGCATCTGCTGGACTATGGAGAAATGTCACTTTCCTTGTTCCTGC